GGCCTAAAAACGCCTCAAAATGGCTTAAAATCCTCACAAATGTCTCTTTCGCCACACCATGAACAGCAACCAGCGGAATGTCATCATTGACTCCTTTGATCAGTCCAATACACCATTCTGGCTTCTTGAAGAGAGCGCTGAAAGATTTTCAGACTGAAAAAGAGTTTTTCGGCTCAAAATTTGCTAAAAATCATGATTTTGGGTCATTTTTAAGCCTTTTAGTGCTCATATTCAATTTTACCGCTAAAAATCGTTCAAGAATAGCAAAAAATCGAAAAAAAAACTTTTCAAATTTTCGGAAAAAAAAGATTTTTCTCGGCTTAAAATTGACCAAAAATCTAGATTTTTGGCTCATTCTCGAGCTACTCAGTGCTGAAATTCAATTTTAAATGACATAAACAGCTTAAAATAATTAAAAAATAGCAAAAAAAAATAAAAGGTTTTTCAAAATTTCCGAAAATTGACATTTTTTAGCTGAAAATTGGCGAAAATCCTCAATTTTTAGCTCATTTTCCACCATTTTTCGCCGAATTTTCTCACTTCGAACGCTTCGAATCCCCTCCTCCATTTTCGGTCTTGCTAACACTTCCATAAAGCACTTCCAACGACCCCTTCGAATCATAGAAAACCGTCGCTTCCTCCCGCCCACTCATCCCGTAGACAATTCGTTTATTAATAATTCCAACTTTCGAAATTGGCTTTGTCGTCCATCGTTCCCATCGACACGCATTATCCTCGTCTCTCAGCTGACAATCGAACGATTTGATGGCTCCCGACGAATCGCCGGTTATCAAAAAATCCCCATTTTGATAGAATTCCATTGTGGTGACGCTGGATTTGTGGCGTTTCTGGAAGAGGCACAATGGGTGTGAAAATGCGGGAAAAACAGCTAAAATTTGAGCATGAAATCGCGAATATTGAAATTAATGAAAACGCGCCAAAGGCGCGCCAGTCTGTCCAACATTTTGTGGTTTTGGGGGTCTGGAAATTGATTTTTCAGCGTTAAATATCATATTTTGCAGCTTAAAACCGCAGAAATTGAACTTTAGGAGAACGCGCCGAAGGCACGCCAGCTATCACAGAGTTTTCAATTTTGGTCGTTTTTAGCGGATTTTTTGGATTTTTTTCGAGATAAATATCGATTTTTCTTCGTAAAATGCCGATTTTTGTTGCTCAAAACTACAAAAATTGACCTAAAATCCCATTTTTGAGTTAAAAATGAACTTTTTAAAAATGCGCCGAAGGCACGCCAGCCAGCACGGTCATTTTTAGGTCATTTTTAGCGGATTTTTCTAATTTTTTCGATTTACAAGCGTCAGAAATCATTGTTTTATTGCAATTTTCTGCACTTTTAGTATAAAAATTCGCGGAAATAGAGAAATTTGATTTTCAGAAAAATGTCAAATTCGGTGATTTTTGAGATTTTGGAAATCGCATTTTCCCCTCAAAATTCATTTTTCGCATTAAATATCAATTTTAACAGCATCAAGGCACAAAAAATGACATTTTTGAGCTTAAAATTGCCAAATTTGTATTTACACAGAAAACGCGCCAAAGGCACGCCAACCTGGCCGAATCCCGTGATTTGGCGGGGGTTCGGAAATTAATTTTTTAGCTTGAAATGTCAATTTTTCCGGCTCAAATCGTGAAAAATCGACTCGAATTGACCTTTATGAGCCTAAACCCGCCAAAATCGAACTTTAAAGAAAACGCGCCGAAGGCGCGACAGCCAGGCTGATAGTGATGATTTCGAGGGTCTGGTATTTGAGTTTTAAGCCTAAAATGTCTATTTTCGCTGTTTAAAACTGCAGGAAATCACATTTTTTGAGCCAAGAACCGTCAAAATCGAATTGCGAAAAAAAGCGCCGAAGGCGCGCCAGCTAGGTCATTTTCAGTAGATTTTAGGTAATTTTTATTCTAAAATCCAGATTCTTCGATTTCCCACCGCTTACATAGTAAGTGGTGATAGGATTCGTTGGATAGCGCGCGTCATACAGAGAAATGACATTTTCATGATTTTCCTGACGTCTTCTGGATCCACGAACATCCGAAATACCTCCGGCGAACGTTGAACTCGACACTGCGATCGTTTGATCGTTCGATGAGAATGCCGTACTGACGACATTGTGATTCTCGCATTCCGGATTCAGCCGGAACTTTTTTTTGGATTCTGAACGAATATCGAAGACGTGTAGGCCGAAGGAATCGTCGACAGCGTAGATTACGTCTGGAATTTTTTGGAAATTTGGCTGAAAATCTCAAAAAATTGATAATTGATTTTTCAAAAAAATTTTTAAAAAATGTTGTAAAATTTTTCTTGTACTAACTCTTCTTTGCATGTGCAAAATGTATTCCAGAAATTTGATTATGGACCTCATATCGTCTCAAAACCTTCTCCTTTTCCAGCGAAAAAATTGGAATATACAAATTCGCCAAATAGGCGCATGCGACGTTATCCGTGTTCACACTGATCATTCGTACCGATGCATTCGGGCTTAAATCGATTTTTCCGGGCATTTTTGGCTGAAAATTTGAGAAAAATCGGTGAAATTTGGTCGAAAATGAGCGGAAAACGGAGAAATGAGGCCAGAAAATGAGATCGCGGCGAGACCCACCGCAAAGTTTTCTACAGTAACCTTAACAGTTTAATCGCGGATTTCAGCGTATTGAAAATAGTGAATTATTTGTCTTTAAATCCAATTTTCGTTCAATATTCAATAAAATTCAGACGGAAATTCACCGAAGTTAGCTTTAAAACAAGATTTTTCAAATTTCCAGGCGTAAAGTTAGCTTAATCGATTTTCAAACAGCGTTGCGCCTTTAAACTACCGTATTCCTCAAAAGAAAAATTTTCGAGGCATTTTCGATGGTTTTTATTGACTTTTCAGCTTAAAAATGTCAGTTTTTTCTGCTGAAAAATGCAAAAACGACTTTAAATCCATATATCTCGGCTCCTGTAAAAGATATGAAAAAGTGGTCAACTGACAAAATGTGTATCATGATATCAGACGTTTTATCAGTTGACCACTTTTTGATATCTTTCACCGGAATCGAGAAAAATTGGCTCAAAGTTTACGGTGTTTACGATATCTTCTAACCGTAAACTTTGACCATCTCTTTCTCGGTTCCTGTAAAAGATATCAGAAAATTCTTAACAGCAAAATTGTTTGCCTTGATATTTTAAACATTTCATCAGTTAAACATTTTTTGATATCTCTAACAAGAAACGAGAACATTAGGTTCAAAGGGGACATCTTTTCAAGGAGTTTCACAGGTTCCAGAAGAAACAATTCAAGTGTTATATGAACGTGATGGAAAAAAAATTATATAAATTATACCAAAAAAAAAGCGACGTAAAAAGTGAAAACCCTTGATGACCCATTGACCTCAGGAAGATTGTTATAAAAGAAGAGGAAAATAAAGAGAAGAATCAGTTCTCGCCTTCTCTGGGCTCCAGAGAAGGCGAGGAGGGCCTTGAGGCCTTGGGCCTTGGGCCTTGGGCCATGGGCCATGGGCCATGGGCCTGGGCCCTTGCGCTTTGGGCCTTGGGCCTTGGGCCTTGGGCCTTTGGGCGTTTGGGCCTTGGGCCATGAGCCTTGGGGCCTTTGGGCCTGGGGCCTGGGGCCTGGGGCCTGGGGCCTGGGGCCTGGGCCTGGGCCTGGGCCTGGGCCTGGGGCCTGGGGCCTGGGGCCTGGGGCCTGGGGCCTATGGCCTGGGACCTGGGGCCTGGGCTGGGTCCGTATGGAGCTGGACCTCGATCGCTCCACCGGTCTCCGCTCGCCTCTGGATATCCACGTAGATTTAACAAATGGTTTATTTAACTGGTCTGAGACCAGGAACAATAATAAGACATTTAAAACAAGATAAAAGGCCTCGAATAGACGAAAGGGGGGATATTTATATGGATCGTTCCCGTGGGTGTGGGGCGGAGCTGCTGGTCGATGATGTGATGGCATTCCAGAAGCTTGCGGAACGATCTGAAATATCAATGTTAGAGTGTGTGTACAGAACGGAGGCGCTGAGAGGGAATGTGGTGTTTCAGCCTACGTGTCATCAAATGGATTTCCCGCTGGGATTTCTTATCACCCGTGACTGTGTTTGACTTTGTGCTCTCCCTATGGGAATGCGGAATTTGGACTATGACCTGGTGGGGAAATATTATGGTAATGTAAAATCACCCTAAAAGGATATTAATATACTTTACAAAGTGTTGGAACTGAAATCAGACAATTCATGCAGTGAGATGAAACAGGATCTTTTGGAGCGCTTCCAATGGTTCAGACGGAAAATAAGAAGAAAACTAGTAATCGGTCCTACCCATTTTTTGAACTTGTAATCTGTCTGTCTGTCCAAACATGTTTTGAAAAGCTTGAAAATTAAATATAAATTAACTAAGAGATGTAAATTAAATCGCACCAAAAGAGCACCAGCCAGCTGGTCTTAAACAAAAAATAAAATTTTGGCGGGTTTCAAAAAAATTCAAATTTGGAAAACCCGGGGCGGTCGCTGTCCCTTTGCCCGCGTGGCTCAGTCGGTAGCGGCGCCGCCCCCACAAGTTCAACTCTTCGAGGGGCATATTTAAAAAGAATTTCGAGAGACTATTTTTTCATGTCTCCCCACCTTTAAAATAATTTGAATTTAACCAGTTCAAAAAATACATATCAAGCTAAAAAGAAACGGCGCGGCCCCTTCAATATATACATATTTTTTCTGTTTCAACACCTTTTTGAAAATAAGTTTAGTGTTCCAAACAGCTAGTCACATAAAGAACCAAAATGCAAAAAAATATCTCCAATTTTTTGGTTTCGAAACGTCAGAAGTTGGATAATGGAGAGCAAGTATAAAAAGGGCAGAAGCTTATAAGAAATGATGTTTTGAATATTGTGGTTTTTTAAATTAAAAACTTCGGGGTATTTGATTCCAGACGTTCGTGTTTGTATCAAACTTCTCCAAAAAATATCCAAAGAACATAATTTTCTAAAGTTTTTTTCAGTTTCAAATTACTCATATCGTCTTTGAATTTTGCACAATTCTAATCAGTACTCTCATATTTTACGAGAAAAAAAAACTCAAAATTTTCTAAAGACATCTCAAATAATGGAAACAGTAAAAATAAGGAAAATGAATGCTTTTTTTTTCGAAATTTTCAGTTTTAAAGCGTTCATATAGGATGTCTAAAACATTTACAATTTTTAGTGGGTACCAAAAAATTCATTCAAGGGGGGTACGACGAATTCGAACGTTTTCAAAATCGAACAGACCTAAAATCGAACTGATTCAATTCAGAACAGTCCTTTTTTCGCACACGTACCAGAACAGAACGCGGACAGAATCGAACTATTACAAGTTCGAACTGGTAAGGAGTCGAACTGTCCCAAATTG